GCTTAGTCAGTACCACACTCAATTCTAGGGGCCACCATTTTACCTGAGGTTAGCTCATTTCAGTTCTGCGTCAGACACCATTTTGTCAAGCTCAGTAAAAAACACGGAGAGGCTGTCTGAAAGAAAACATTTATTCAGGAATGAGTGCTGCAATAGGAATACATAGGCCATGGTAATCTATGTGAGTATTCAGAAATGTAAAGGAAGACAAAGGTTTTTAAAGAACGAAATGAGATAGGGCATATAATTGTTGTGAGATAATTATTCTTGGGTACGTTGGTCAGTAATAAGGGTGGTGCTGGTCTGAGTTTGGACAGGCAGTGGCTGGGCAAATACCCTTGGAGAAGTATTTTTGTGTCTATAAGGTTGTGATGACTTTTACGCAAAGTTGTGGTTTTTGAAAAGGTTTTTTGTGACAGTTTTTGTGATCAGGCATTTATGCATGGGAACCCACCATTCATGCCCTTTGGTGACTCCAATATTCAGGGTTTTTAATTTTTTTTTTTAATGCCAGTGATTCTGTTTTGATTCTGACAGCATTCAGTCTGATTCTCACAAATTCTGACTGTATTCTGACTATATAAAACACATTGGAGGTGAGTGTCTTAATCCATTTTGCATTGCTATAAAGGAATATCTGAGGTTGGGTAATTTTTTTAAATAAAAATGCCTCCTGGATTCAGAATGGTAATGAAGATTGAACACCAGGTGCAGATGCTCAATTGTGAACTTTTCAACTCATAATTCCGATGGCTGAAAAGTTAAGATTGGGGGTCTGAGTCTGATGAGGGCCTCAGGTTACTTCCACTTACGGTGGAAAGCAAAAAGGAGCCCATGTGTGTGCAGGAAGTCACATCGTGAGAGAGGATGTGCGTGAGAGAGAGGAGGTGCCAGGCTCTTTTTAACAACCAGCTCCTGTGGGAAATAAGAGAGTGAGAACTCACCCTGGAAGGAGCGTATTAATCTATTCATGAGGGATCTGCTCCCATCACCCAAATACCTCCCATTCGTTCCCACCTTCAACATTGGGAATAAAATTCCAACATGAAGTTTCAAAGGGACAAACATCCAAATCAGAGCAGTGAGTCACCACCAGTATCAGGTCTTAGGAAAAATATGAAAGAAGTCAAATTTGTCTTTATTTCCATTTTCTCTTCAGTGTTGGCCTCACATACTTCTCTACCTCATTCCATGTCTTTTAGGTAATCAGTGCATGTGTATCCTCTTCTCTTGTGACTTGAAACACTTTTTAGCAGGAATGAGCATGTATTAAGGGTCATCGTAAGCCAGAATGCTGTATTCTCTGCTCAGACGCAAAACAAGAGGCAGTAAGTGAGCTCTCAGACCTGCTGTTAAAAGCAACTCCCACATAGCAGAGAAGGGACACAATTCTTTGCTTGGGGCACAACTTACCATTCTGAATCCAGGAACCAAGAGTGGAAAAGATAAGAGGTTTTTGTTTTTATTCTTCCTAGTTTAAGCAACCATACTGAGGTAAATCAGGGTTTCCATTTACACCACCGAGTGTAGAGATGAGTATCCTAGATTCAATCAGTAAGTCAACTGTCAGTACTAGTTCTTGGTCTTTTTACGATTTTTCTGTTTTTGGTGTCTTCCTAGGTATTTTAGTGCAAAATCAGGAGAGTCTGCATCAGAGGGTACAGCCATACTATGCATGCATACTCACTGGTGAAAGTGAATGGTCCTGGCCGGGCGCGGTGGCTCACATCTGTAATCCTAGCACTTTGGGAGGCCGAGGCGGGTGGATCACGAGGTCAAGAGATTGAGACCATTCTGGCAAACATGGTGAAACCCTGTCTCTACTAAATACAAAAATAAATTAGCCAGACATGGTGGCACATTCCTGTAATCCCAGCTGCTTGGGAGGCTGAGACAGGAGAATCGTTTGAACCCAGGAGGCAGAGGTTCCAGTGAGCCGAGAATGTGCCATTGCACTACAGCCTGGGCAACAAGAGTGAAACTCCATCTCAAAAAAAAAAAAAAAGAAAGAAAGTGAATGGTCCTTTTGGAGACTCCTGGGCCATACGTATTAATCCTATTTCTAAAACCAGTCTTGAGGAGGAGCACAACCTCGGGGCCACTGACAACACCTCCTCTCTCATTGCTCTTGGTAACCATATGACGTTATTTACTTGGCCTTTTCAGGAGGGCACAGATGCCACTGATAGCAGCCTTCACACTCTAAAGAACTTTAAATGTTTGACAGACATTGATAAACAGAGCGCCCTGCTCTGTTTTCCTCATCAGATGAATACCAAAACCCTTGTCAAGGTGACAGAGTCATTAAGTGTCTATTCACATGGCAATCAGAAATTTGAGCATCAATCAGTAATCATAAAGTCAGGGGCCTTTTCTCACAAAGTCAGGAATTCAGAGGGCTTTCATAAGCTAATCAGCAGGCATCAAATAGACAATCTATCTAATTAGCTGCTCACATTCAGATGGCAATCAAAGCAACACAGTAAGCTTCATTAGTAATGATATTGAAAAATGTGATCTATGCAGTATTCAGCTAGAAAATGAATATCCATTTTCATAAATAGGTAAGGAGGATGTGGCTGTACTGTGTATACCATATGGCAGTTCAAAGATGCAGTCACCAGAATCCCAACTGGTGACTATTTTTGCTTTTCCCTTGGCCTAAAAGTAAGGGAGAGAAGGTGGAGTCACTTATTATAAAGCTGACAATAGCATCGCAGTAAACTTTGGGTGACATGACCCACCTTAGAGGAAAAACGAGGTGAAGGGAGGTGAAGGAGAAGTCAATAATTCTGGAACTTTACTGTTCTTTATGAAAATTCCATTTCTAGCTCTCACTTCAACACCTCTTCACTCCCAAAATCCACTTTTCTACTATGAATCCTTTCCTTGGAAAAATGGGTGCCAAAGCGCTCCATAGTAGATCTGGAGATGTCATCTTTCTTCCAGGTAAGAACACTCTTCTGACACCAAAGCAACCACCCACCTGAAAGCAGCTGGCTAAATTAGTGGTAAAGGCCTTCTCCAGCAGAGACTAAAGTCCTTTTTCATAACCCTTAAAGGCAACAATGTATCGCACATTTTGCCACACATTTTGAAATTAATTTAGGAAACAGACATGTTCACTGTTTTCCAAGAACTTATCTTTGAGTAACATTAATGAAAAAAATTACAAATATTAATTTTTAAAAGCATGTAATTAGAAGCTAGTTGCTGTGTTCCAAATCTGCATATTTTAGATTTGAGAATTGAATAGAGGGAAGATCACTGGTATATGGAATGTCAGAAGCATTTGGAAAAAGCTAGAGGCCAGGAGCTGATGGCTTTCAAACTGTTACATGTCTTAACTGCTGGTGTTTCAAGAAAATTGATATTCATTTCTAGTGAAAGGTAGAATATACTTCAGAAAAGCAGTACAAAATTGTCAGATAACTTAAAAGAAAAAATGTACAAATAAACTCTCACATATTTTGCCCAGCTTAGCACACTTTTAAGGGTCATGTTTCTCTATCAAATCTTCGTAGGTCAATACATATTTATAAGTGAAAAATATTCAAAAACGTTTAGAGATATCACAAGGTGTGCCCAGTGGAACCATAAGTTCCTTAAAGGGAAGGTCTCTTACCCCACATACCTTGGGGTATCCACAGCAGAGCTGGACAGATTATATGTCTGGGTTACAAAATACTGTGTTGAGGCTAGAAGAGGGCTTCTGTTCTGAAACAATGCTGAGGTTTAAGCCTCTATTTCAGGGCCATCTCTTCTGAAAAGCCTTCCTAATCCCTACATCATCTCTCCTGGTATTCTGTCTACTGGTAACTCCACTCACTGTTACAAAACTTTCTTACACGTATGTATTTACATTTTTGAATCCCTCTATTAAGTTAAAGCCTCTTTGCAGCAAGCAACGCTTCTGATCCAACTTTGTAACCCCATCAACGATGTGTGTCCAATGAATAAAAAGACTGAATGACTATTTTTCAATTAGTTTGAGTTATATGAAAACTTGTTGAGTTCTTTGAAAGGAAAATGCTTTAGACACTGAGGAAGCCATTACAGGGATTTATTAAGAACACTTAGTGCCCAGAAGGCTATGCGTAAGATATAAAACCACGGCTCTGTCTCCAAGGAGTTTCTGTGCTTATGTATGACAGATCACTCAGAGATTCACTCTGCAGGAAGTTTAATATGAGGGTTGGAGAGAACAAGCATTCAAAGAATGAAAAATCTAGTTTCTGATCAAAAAAAAAAATCCTAAGAGGTGTTCAAGGAGCTTGTTATATAGAAAGAAAAGTTTAAAGGCACAGAAATAAATGAGGACATGGTATCTTAAGGGAGAGAGCAAAAGCAGGCCTTACTTTAAACAAAGAAGAATACCAGAGTCTTAGAAAATGTGTAATAATTCCATTGAAGATATTTAAACTTCTACGTTTCAAGATAAAATTTTCAGATGAAAAGTACCATAAATGAACTAGGAAATAAAATCCCCACGAGTGAAGTAAGCTGAGAGTTTCATGTGTCCCTCCTTTTTGATGTGTCACTGCACAGAGGACTCGACTATTTAAAGCCAGGGTTTGGCTGCACCTGACAATGGCACTAAGCGGTAGAAGCTTAGAGCCTGAAGCCCACAGGCACAGCAGCTGCGAGGCACAGCGGGTACCTCCACCGCAGCAGGCACTGAAGAAGGTGCAGCAGGGTCTGTGCCTGTCTTGGTTTAGATGTTGAGAGGCTTGTCATTACATTCTACCATGGAGTAGTGACAGCCGACTGATGCTCTGTGCAGAAAGCCTAGGTGCTCTGCAGACAGGCATGCTAAGGACCCCTTGCTTTGGTAGAGAGGGCAGTGCCATGCAAGAGACCTTCTGTTTCTGGGTGTGAATCAGTGTGTTCAGATGAGCTGCCATAACAAAGTACCACTAACAGAGGCGGCTTCAACAGCAGAGGTTTCTTTTCTTTTCTTTTTTTTTTTTTTGAGACGGAGTTTCGCTCTTGTTACACAGGTTGGAGTGCAATGGCGTGATCTCGGCTCACCGCAACTCCTGCCTCCTGGGTTCAGTCCATTCTCCTGCACCACCATGCCCAGGTAATTTTTTGTATTTTTAGTAGAGACGGGGTTTCACCATGTTGACCAGGATGGTGTCGATCTCTTCACCTCGTGATCCACCCGCCTCGGCCTCCCTAAGTGCTGGGATTGCAGGCGTGAGCCACCAGGACCGGCCGATTTTCTCACTGTTCTGAGGGCTGGAAGTCCAAGATCAAGGTTTTGGCAAAGTGTTTCTTCTGAGGCTCCTCTCCTTGGTTTGCAGATGGCTGCTTTTCCCTGTGTCCTCACATAGACTTTCTTTGTGTGTGCATATTCCTGGTATCTCTCTGTCCTAATCTCCTCTTCTTACAAGGACACCAGCGGTCCTGGATTAAGGCCCATGCTAATGACCTCATTTTAACATAATTACATCATTCAACCCACTACTTTTAAATACAGTCACAATACCTAACACCAAGGGTTAGGACTTCAACATATAAATTTGAAGAGGACAGAATTCAGCCCACAGCAGAGAATGAGGCCTGCCTCCCAATCCTCACCTGCAGCACAGCTTCAGAAAGCACCCTCTCTGCTCTTCTCAGAGATATATTCTTTCCATAATTCAATAAAGAGGGGGAGAACTGCTAATATTTAAGGAGGGTTTACAGTTGTCAGGTACAATACCAAAAATCCTAGGTAAGTTATCTTATTACATAATCACAATAACCTATAACGAGGGTGTGGTGATTGGTTCCATTTATCTTGGAGTTGCAAAATAGATGTTTTTAATGTTGTCCGCTTTTAAAAAGTTTTTTTAAGGTATAATTGACATAAACGTTAGTAACAGTATATAATTTGATAAGTGTATCAAATTTGACATATTTATGCACTTTTGATATATTTATTTAATAACATTAGTACATGATTTGATAAACTTATCAAATTCAACATATTTATACACCTGTGAATTCGTCATCCAGTGAAAAGTCTCCTTGTGCCCCTTGGTCATCCCATCTTCCTGCCGCTTCCTATACTCTACCCCATCCTTAGGCAACCACAGGTCTGCTTTCTCTCACAATGTAGTTGTTTATATTTTGTACAATTTTATATGAATGGAACTTATGGTATGTACCTTTCTGGTCTACCTGATTTCCTTCAACATAATTAATTTTAAAGTCATCCAAATTATTGGGTATATCAGCAAGTCATTCATTTTACTGCTGAGTAGTGTTTCACTGTGTGGACATACAGTTTGTTTGTTTATTCACCTCTTAATCCACATTTGAGTTGTTTCCAGTCTAGAGTACCACAAATTAAGCTAATATGAGTACTCATGTACAAGTCTTTGTATAAATGAATATATGCTTCCTTTTTCTTGGTCAAATTCCCAGCAGGGGAGAGGCTGGATATGGACAGTGTATATTAACTTTTTTTTTTTTTCCAGAGACAAGAGTCTTCAATCTGTTGTCCAGGCTGGGGTGCAGGGGCACAATCATAGATCATTGCAGCCTTGAACTGCTGGGTTCCAGGGATCCTCTTACCTGAGCATCCCAAGAAGCTAGGACCACAGGCACACGCCACCATGCCTGGATAATTTTAAAAAAATTTTTAGAGACAGGATCTTGCTGTGTTGTCCAGGCTGGTCTCAAGCTCCCGGCTCAAACAATTCTCCTTCCTTGACCTCCCAAGATGTTAACTTTTTTTTCTCTTTTTCTTTTTTTTTTTTTGACATGGAGTCTTGCTCTGTCACCCAGGATGGAGTATAGTGGTACAATCTTGGCTCACTGCAACCTCCGCCTCCCAGGTTCAAGCGATTCTCGTGCCTCAGCCTTCCTAGTAGCTGGGATTACAGGTGTGCATCTGGTTAATTTTTGTATTTTTAGTAGAGACAGGGTTTCACCATGTTGGCCAGGCTAATATCAAATTCCTGACCTCAAGTGATCCACCCACCTCAACCTCCCAAAGTGCTGGGATTACTGGCAGGAGCCACTGCACCTGGCCCAATATATTAACTTTCTAAGCAACTGACAAACTGTCTGGCAAAGTGGTTGTACCAGTTTATATTCCCAACAACAGTGTATGAGAGTTTCAATTCCTCCATTTTCTTGCCAAATCTTGATATTATCTGTCTTTATGATTATAGTCATTGTAGTGGGTGCGTAGTGGTATTTCAATGTGGTTTTGATTTGCATTTTCTAAATAAGTAATGATGGGTTTATTTGCCCATCATTTTTCACTTCTTTGGTAAAATATCTGGTAAGATATTTGTCTATTTGTTATTAGATTATTTTATTAATATTTTGTATTCTGGATATATAAGTCCTTTACCAGACTTATAATTTGTAAGTTACTTCTCTCAATTTGTAGCTTGTCTATTTTCTTAACAGTGTCTTTTAAACATACATTTTTAAGCTTGATAAAGATTAGTTTATCAAATTTTCCCTTTTATGGATTGTGCTTGTGGGGTAATATCTAAGAAAATATGTACCTAACAGAAGGGCAGGCAGATTTTCTTCTGTGTTTACCTCCAGAAGTTTTTTTGGTTTGTGTTTTATAAGTAGTTTATTATTCAGTTTTAGCTGATTTTTGTGTATGACCTCAGGTATAAATGTCTTTGCTTTGTTTTGCTTTGCTTATGGATAACCAGTTGTTCTACTACCACTTCCTCCACTGACATGCCTTTGTACCTTTGTCAAAAATCAGTTGCCTATATCTGTTTATTTCTGGACTCACTATTCTGTCAAATAATCTATTTGTTATACAGTATAAGTCACCTAATTTTGTTCCTCTTTTTCAAAGTTATGTTGACAATTCTAGGTCCTTGCATTTCAGCTAGGAAGAGGTAGAGGCTGAACTTGAGAACAGGTGCCTTCTCTGGGGACCCATGTTGCTAGCTGCTCACAGAATACATGATATACTACTTCTAGGAAAGCATGTCTCCCCCTCACAATTGGCAAAGACATGATTACAATCAGAACCACTATCTTCCCCTTCTAACATAATGAGATAATGTACTCTTCTTGATCTTAAGATATCATCCCTTATCCTGTTTAGGATCCATTTTATGTTGTCTTCAATTTTTATTTCATTGTCTCCTTAGAAACTCTAAGGAACTATTTCTTCTCCCAATAAAAACAGCACAAATGAAAAATGGTTTGGTCCACGTTTATTCATTAACATAGCAACCAGAAACCAAGAGAAAGCCTACGCTGTTACTGAGAAAAATGTGTTTTGAATTTTGAAATGCCATGTCTCTGAGATATAAAGCTAAAGGATTGAACACATAGTTATATATCTATGTATTCTTATTAATGACAGAAAATTCTAAACTACTTTTCTCCTACTTTCCCAACTCTGTTCATAACTGTACTCTTCTCTCTCTGTCTACAGTATAATTTAACCTCCCACTTGAATACAGAGAATAATTCGATTGAGAGGTGTGTTTATATCACATGAAACACAATAAAGCAGGATGAAGTATTTCTTAAATCGTTTGCAAATGAATGGCTGCAATATTCCCAGGTTGCTCTCTGTTCTCCTGCAAACTAAAAACAACTATGGCTATCCATTAACATGCAGCTCCCAAAGGACATCTTGAGACATTTAAAAGCTGGATGAAATGAGTGTGACTGACCTAATGGAAAATCACAGGGAAAGGTATTAAATGGAACATGTGTGTTGAGACCCGGAGAGAATTTCAGATGGAGAATAACAGAGGAACAAACTGTAATAGAATGCCAAGATAGGATCTGGATAACAGCAAGATAAAGTATAATGAAATGAACTGGGCATCCAGAAAGGGTCAGTGCCACGGCCAAAGTTAGAGCCAAGAATAATACCCAGATCTCCTGACCCCAAAGCTGCAGTCAACGATAGAACAGAATCAACCACAGCTGCACATCTGGTGTCTTAGATCAGCTACAATTAGGAGCCAGGCAATTCCTAGTCTTTGTTATAAGAAACTCTTTTTCTGCCACATTAGCTTTTTAAGTACTTATCATGTTACATTTTCCCATAGTAGCTATTTTCATTATTAAACAAAATAGATTTTTGCCATTTTCTTTATTTTTAATGCAAGATTACTCATATTTCAGATAATAATAAAATATCCTTGCAATCTACCCATCTGACAAAGGTCTAATATCCAGAATCTACAAGGAACTTGAACAAATTTTACAAGAAAAAAAAAATCAACCCCATCAAAAAGTCTCAAAGGATATGAACAGACACTTCTCAAAAGAAGACATTTATGCAGCCAACAAACATGGAAAAATGCTCATCACTGGTCATTAGAGAAATGCAAATCAAAACTACAATGAGATACCATCTCACACCAGTTAGAATGGCAATTATTAAAAAGTCAGGAAACAAGAGATGCTGGCAAGGTTGTGGAGAAATAGGAACACCATTACACTGTTGGTGGGAGGATAAATAAATGCAACCATTGTGGAAGACAGTCTGGCAATTCCCCAAGGATCTAGAACCAGAAATATCATTTGATGCAGCAATCCCATTACTAGTTATATAACCAAAAGATTGTAAATCATTCTACTATAAAGACACATGCACACATATATTTATTTCAGCACTATTTACAATAGCAAAGACTTGGAACCAAACCAAATGATAGACTGGATAAAAAAGCATACGGTACATATACACCATGGAATACTGTGCATCCATAAAAAAGAATGAGTTCATGTCCTTCACAGGGACATGGAAAAAGCTGGAAGCCATCATTATCAGCAAACTAACACAGGATCAGAAAACCAAAGACTGCACGTTCTCACTCATAAGTAGGAGTTGAACAATGAGAACACATAGACACAGGGAAGAAAGTATCACACACTGGGGTCTGTCAGCGGGTGGGGGACAAGGGAAGGGAGCGTATTAGGACAAATACCTAATGCATGTGGGGCTTGAAACCTAGATGACAGGTTGATGGGTACAGCAAACCACCATGGCACATGTATACCTATGTAACAAAACCTGCACGTTCTTGACATGTATCCTAGAACTTAAATTTTTTTTAATCTTCTCAACGTTTTATTAAACAATCC